AATTTTCTTGCAACAGCTGAGGAGATGGCAACACCATCAAGGCCATCAACACCTGGGCCATACCTGTCATAAGATATACTGCTGGCATCATAAACTGGACACAGGCAGAACTGGACCATTTGGACAGAAAAACTAGAAAACTCATGACCGTTCATAATTCATTACATCCTTGCCTAGAAAGTCTGGCGGCAGAAGACTTTTACAAGTCAAACAAGCAGTTGAAGAAGAAAAACACGATGCCCTGGCAGAATATGTCAAGGAAAGCCAAGAACCTGCTTTAATTGAAGTCAATATTCGGAAACTTCTCAAAGCACAGCAGACAAAGAGTCAGTACAAGAAAACTGCACTCCAAACCAGAGCTGACACCTGGCACAACAAAGCCTTACATGGGCAGTTCCTTGACAAAATTGAAGGAAACGTTGATGAGGGGAAGACCTGGTTCTGGCTCATGAATGGAATCCTGAAGAAGGAGACAGAAGAAGGCCTGGTTCTTGCAGCCCAGGAGCAAGCCATCAGAACCAATGCAATTAAGGCCAGGATTGAAAAATCAACAGATGATCCAAAATGCAGACTGTGCAAGGAAGCGGATGAAACCATGGACCATCGTTGCAAGAAAATCGCGCAGACGGACTACAAACAAAGACACAACTCTGTGGCCCTAATGATTCACTGGAACTTCTGTCACAAGGACCACCTGCCAGTAGTAAAGAATTGGTGGGATCATAAACCGCAAAGGTTGTGGAAAATGAACATGCAAAAATACTGTGGGACTTTTGAATCCAGACTGACAAAGTTTTGGAACACAATACGCCAGACATCACGATTGTGGAAAAGAAAAAAGTCTGGATTATTGATGCCGCCATTCCAGGTGAGAGCCGCATTGAGGAAAAACAACAGGAAAAACTCATCCACTATCAAGATCTCAAAATTGAACTGCAAAGGCTCTGGCATCAACCAGTAGAGGTGGTCCCAGTGGACATCGGTAGCACTGGGTGCTGTGTCAAAAGATCTCAGCCGGCATTTGGAAACAATGAACATGGACAAAATCATGATCTGTCAACTGCAAAAGGCCACCTGACTTGGATTTGCGGGCATCATTCGAAAATACATCACACAGTCCTAGATGCTTGGGAAGTGTTCAACTTGTGATTTTGTGATACGAAATCCAGCATATAGATCTCGTTTGCTGTGACATATTGTGTTTTTGTGTAAGTAAAATAATATAATTGCAAAAGCCGCAAAACAAACCTCTATACAACTTGGATTGATTACAAAAAAGCATTTGACTCACTGCCACATTGTTGGATTATCAAATGTCTAGATGTCATCGGGGTTTGTGAAAATATTCGAAAGTTCACTGAAAATGCAATGAAACAATGGGCAACGAAAGCTATGGAACTGTTAACATCAAGAGAGGAATTTTCCAAGGCGACTCACTGTCACCATTGCTATTCATCATTGCAATGATCCCTCTGTCAGTCATTCTACAGAAAACAAACCTGGGCTACCAAACAGCAAGAAATTCACCAAAAATTTCACACTTGCTGTACATGGATGATCTAAAGCAGTGTATTGTCGAAGGCTTTC